AATAATTTTTTTCCCTTAAATACTATTGAGAAGCTATTTGCATAAAAACAAAAAAACTGGAGGTGTAGATATTTGAGTTAAACTATGAATTATTACTGAAAATTTTTTAATCACGAATAACGATCGTTAAACGATCCTTAAACGATCGTTTTTTGTTTCGTTTTCAAAAACGATCGTTTCGTTTCGTTTTCGGAAAAAACACGATCGTTTTTAAAAACGACCCACTCGTTTTGAACTTTTAGAAAGCGAATAACGATCGTTTTTGAAAACGATCGTTTTATTAAAACGATTTGCGACCGTTTTTTATACGATTGTTTTTAAAAAACGATCGTTTTTGAAAAATACATATTCTTTATACAAGGAAAGTAAAGGATGTAAATGCCTGTAAAGATCCAGAAAAGATCAAGCCTGAAAATCTTTACTTTTCCCAAAACTTAAATTCGAAAAAAACTCCCTTGCAAGCTTAAGGATGAGTACAACCAGCTTCTCCTAAACCATATTTAATATATAATTTCAATTAGTCTCCATTTAAAATGTTCTGTACGATGTGAATCATTAATCTAATAAAAGAAGGGAAAAAGTTAAGCTTCTAAAAATCCAAAAAAATTGAGACAGGATAGAAATAAAAGTTTCCAAGTGATTTAATTCAAAAAGCAATCAATTTTTCTTTAATGTGAAGAAAAATATTCCTTTACACATAACAGTAATATTGATAACAAAAATGAGATTTTATGCCAATTTTCTCCTCTTTTTTCCTTCTTTCTTTCATTTTTCGTTTCCTTCTTTTCATTTTATCATTTTCTTTATTTTTGTCTCAGATAGTGTGCCCACCCCATGTGCAACCACTTCGGGGATTAATGGGGGGTGGGGGGAAAGTGCCCCTGTGCAGCTACTAGCTAGGGGCCTGATAGATACTAGCGTAAAATCACACAAAAAAATTATAATTTGTTTATTCACGATATATATATATATATGTTTTTTTTTGACTGGGTATGAAGTTTTATCTTGAAACTTTTTTCCTGAGGCCGAATTTAGAGAATTTGAGACGCGGCTTAAATATGGTTGGTTCCACTACAAATTGTATTCAATGTTTTAAGAAATAAGCCGGCGTTTAATTGAAACCGGTTTATGACGGAATTAAGACGCGGCTCAAATTCATTAAATTCGGACAAACAAGTTTTGAAAGGGAAACACTGTGAAAGCAAAACATGTAACTCTATGCCTGCAATGCAATGAGCAATGATAAAGGTTTTTGCTTTGAAAAATTCCTTTTAGACATTTTTAGTATTTGAACGCGGCGGGATGCTTTCACAACACAACGCTCCATAGTGTTCCTAGCACAAGGGCGGAATCACAACTAAAGTTTTACAGACTACAGAGAGAAGTTTTAGAGAAGCGTTAAAAGCACGGACGGATCGTGGGGAGGGGGATATAAGGGGGGGGGCACTACCCTCCGGGCCCTTCACAATAACATAAAATTTCATGGAGTTTTGAGAGTTAAGGGTAGCATACTAAATGTAATATCAGTCTTGCCTGCTAAACGCTACAAATAGTGAAATATACAGGTTTAGCCACAAATGATAAGACACGCATATTTTTGATATATATATAGTACTTTCATATTTTATCAAATTATCTGGCAAAGATATCTACAAAGAACAAAAAATAAAAGTCTCTTGAAAGTCTTATTTTTTCAGACCACCCTGTAGAAAACAAATCGGCACTGTCCCCCTTTCA